ACTTTTCTCATGAAGTCTAAGGAATAAAACTATACTTCATAGATATATTTATCTTCTTTTTACATAGAGATATTATTACAAAATTTTCTATATATTTTCAGATATCCAATGAAATAATATTAAATATAAATGTTAGTATTAGTTATTTGAATTAATATTCTTCAAAATTTGAACTATTTGTACACAAACATTAAAATGAAGAATGATTAAATGGTGTTTCATGTAATCCTGAAATGAAAGAAGGTAGAAGGTAGAAATGAAAGAGTATGGCAGTATTTGGAAGAAGATAAAAAAGAGGTATCCACTGCCTTTAAATATATTTCCTAATTATTGGTTTTTGTATCTTTTGATTTAGAAAAATGAAAATCTAAGCAGGAAAAGTAGAACATAGTTTCCACATGATTAGCTAAAAGGGTCAAAACTTTGGAATCACTTTGAAATCTGTTTTAAAAGCTCAGCTACTTTGATTTTTTTTATTATAGAACCATGAAAAGTTATTTCAACTGAATTGCATACATAACTCCTAGAGTGTAGACAGTTGCTATTATTTGTTCACTTCATCAAAATGCTTTTTTAAATTCTTGCTACATCTGTATTACCAGGTCCTGGAGAAACTGAGGTGAAAGAGGCCCGGGAGAAGCCAAATCCTCTTTGCTATTTCTAACAAAGGAAATGCCATTCTTGCCACTAACTCTTGGAACGATTTCCAAGTTCTCTAAAAATAATTTAACCTGTGTCAAATAGCTGTCTCATCTGGAAAACTCAACAAATGAATGCAGAAGTTAGAAAGAGTAGAAGGAAAGCTAGGTGTTAAACTGAAACGGTATATCCCAGTCATGTTAGATTGAAACTCCAAATTAGCCAGCACACTTCCATACATCTGCTCCCTTTTCTTTAAACTTGAGTAATATTATTACAAAAATGCATAATGATCCCCACTCTTCTTGTATTTCAAATGAAAGATCCTGAAACATCACAGCATAGGCACCTTTGTAAAGGTGTATTATAGGTGGATGAATTGCTTTTGGGGTTAGCATTTCTACATTCAAAAGGCAGATTATATAGGGAGGAAAAGTCAGAGGAATAATATAAAGTATTTCTACCCAATGACAATGACACTATTTTAACATTGGACTTTAGTTTTAACAGGACATACCTATTAAATTAAGCTTCATTTTAAACAGTAGTTGAATTCTTTAACACTTTGTGCAAATTATTTCTTGGTAGCCAAATCACACTTCACTGTACCTGAATAGCTGTTTACATGTAGAAAGCTCAGATAGATCCTTATAAAAGTAAAAGGTATCCTTTATTTTTTCAAAAATGTGGATCATTGAAAACTATTTTCTTAATTTGAAGCATTTTTAACATAGGAGTTATTCAAAAATGAATTTTTTAATTCTGTTATATGATTTTGCAAGGAAATTTTATTTTTTAATTTTCCAACTGTCAAGTTATTTAAGATTAACATTTATTCTATGCTGGTCCGTGAATGAAATGTCATTGCCTATAATGATTTTCAAACATCTGCTAGTGTCCTCAAGCAGAAGAACTGGAATATTTTTAGGAGAGATGACTTATCACTTGACTATTAACTTTCGCAGGGCACCACCTAAATCAAAATTTTTCAAGGTGACCAAAAGTAAAATGGAAACATTCTGGATTTCAAACATTGTTCTATCTTTTTTGATATGAAAGATAACCTATAAAAATTTTGTGAAGAGAAAGGGCTGCAGTGACTCGCATTAGTTCCTGCTGAGGGGCGCAAGGATCAAAGCGAAACTTCATTCATGTGAGGGGCCATGTGACAGGGCTAACACAGGTTCACGCTGTGACTGTGCCTCCTCACTCTCACGATTTGTTTCAGTTTGGGGTGGAAAAGGGGATGAAAAGAGATAATATATGGTCCATCTACCATTTGCCAAGAACTGTGCTTAACATTTTACATATGGCTTCTCGTTATAAAGAGTTAAACAGGGCCGGCCCCGTGGCTTAGCGGTTAAGTGTGCGCGATCTGCTGCTGGCGGCCCGGGCTCGGATCCTGGGCTAGGATCCCAGGTGCGCACCGACGCACCACTTCTCCAGCCATGCTGGGGCTGCATCCCACATACAGCAACTAGAAGGATGTGCAGCTATGACATACAACTATCTACTGGGGCTTTGGGGGAAAAATAAATAAATAAATAAAATTATTAAAAAAAAAAAAAAGAGTTAAACAATATATAAGAAAAAAATTCAACCAAAAGAAATCTCTTACTGTTTGTTTTTTCCTGCCAAATCTAGAGTTTCTCATCTGTCTTAATAGGAGATAACATCTCTAGTAAGGAAGAGAAACCTGGTTTCTTGCTTTTTTTCCCCGTTTCCAGTTACTGCTTTTTTAAGTCTTGAAATGAAGGGAGTCCAGCAGTGGATGGCAGCCCAAGAGGGAATGCTGTTTTTATATATCTTCTCTGCTCCGGTCAGATGGGGATAGCTGAGAGAAGCTTGAAAAATAATTTAAGGTCTGGAAAATGAGTGAATATTCAGAATAAAGCATAGTTTTCAATTGATTTGATAAAAATACTTAAAATACATTTAAATATAAACATAAAACTTCAATTCGAAATACTGTAATGGGAAAAAAAGGATAAGTTGATTGTAGCTCTTTTAAGACTAAACCAATTTTATAAGTAATCTCTTAGAAAGTTATCTAATCAAGTCCTTTATATCATTTAATAACATTAAATTTGGCATGGCTGCCTATTATAAGTATGCTATATCTCTGTTAATTATGCCAAGATATAGCAAGAAAAATGTTAAATAAAAATCAGACACTATACTGACTAGATAACACCAAGTGTTTTTCATAAATCCTCAGTCAATTCTATGCTAAATCAGTTTTGATTTAAAAGCTACTCTGGACATTATGCATAAGTCAAATATCTAGTCATATAATTTCAATATTCTCTATTTTTATCCCAATAAAGCATGGGTTACATGAGTAACAACATTTCCAATCAAGAAAATTATTGTTCTCTAACTTGAATTAACCAGTAGTCTGAAATTTCTCTTATAAGCTACTTGAGAGCAAAGATACAATCATATTTATTGCATTACCTTTCTTGGGGTTATCACACGGCTAAGGCTTCAAACGGCTGTAAAGCTGACTTAAATGATGAGCAATTTGGGTCAAGACTACCAGTGTGGATTAAAAGCCTGATTCCAATCAGGCCCTACTCTATGAGAAATGTGTGTCCCCCAGAGCAAGCTAAGCACTGGCCTTGAACACTTCTACACACTTTCTTCCTGTCTGCTGACCAGTGTTGGGGAGAACACCACTAAACATTTTGATGATTCATCATAAGTGTGTACGTCATACTTTTACCCTGATCTTTATGTGGCTAATGTATTAATAGTCTCCCACACCAAGAATCATGTTTGAAATACAATACATTAACAATCTGAAGCAGACTTAGCTGTGAAGCAGGATACTGAGAATAAATAGATGAAATTCTAGACATTTCTAAAGAGGATCCAGCTACTTAATGGCCACTGAGGTCTTCAGTGAATACGTGTGAATATTTCAGTGCAGTCCAACCTGAACTGAAAAGCAGTTCTAACTTCCAAATTTAAATACCGCCTGTGCATATAAAAAAAGAGGCTCATTTATTACTCCAAAATGTTACTACGGTTGGGATCTTGAAAAAACATTCTCTTTTTCTTAGGCATGTTCTTCAGTAAAAGGAAGTTGGGAAGGGTAGGCTAGAGAATGGAACTTCTGCTTGGAGACCATAAACTTGAGACGTCCTGTTTTTCACCTCACAACAGGCGAGGCTGGGCTGAAGGTGGTTGAGTAAGTACATTCCTCTGCCAAAGTTAAGATGATGAACCGTGGGTAACCTCAGCAAAATTCTACTCACTCACTGAAAAGCTGTTACTGTTTGGTTATTGAGGATTGTCCAAACCGTTTTCCTCACAGGTTGGATCCATTCTTTTTGAGGGGCAAGTGCAGTTCCCATTGAGAGAGTTACAGAGAGCTCTGTGGACACATTGGCACTTCAGGGCACAGTTAGGTCCATACTGGCCTGACTCGCATTCTGTGAGGGAAAAGTAAAAATAAGAGCGATTCAAATATAATTTTCTATCACACAGTCTTTTTACTACTATTTCTTGGAATTCAATAGGATAATGATAGACTTGTAAAGAATTCTGGTTAACCATGTGGTATCTTTTTCCCATGCTAGAATGTTATATAATAAAAATAAGGACTTTAATGGAAAACAGGAGGAGGCTGGGGAGTGTCAAGGAAGTTAGTGACAAAATTGAAAAGAGGAGAAGACAGGGCAGCAACTTCTATTTTTAAAGTGCCATCTCAAAATTAGATTATTCAATAGAGTTCATCGCACTGGTGATGTGAGGGACACAGGGAAAATGCATCAGCTGTCTTGAGGTCAGAAAAAGGCAACAGTTACCCAGAATACACAATATATGAAATTTGTCTTTAGGTCAAAAACTTGATTATTTGTGTTTATGTTGTTAAAAATGAAATGGCTTTAAATTCAAACTTCTATCTCTTAAAATGTGTCAAAAGGGCCATAGATCCTCTGTGAACCTACCTTTGTAAAATCGTGCTATCTGGACTAAAGTGATATAATACAACTATCTTTAAATTGAATTGCATTGTGATTGCAACCAGTAGAGAAATGAAGGGGGGAGGGAATAAAAAGTGTTAACTTTATCAAAATAACTAAACGTGGACTAAAGGGGGCCCCCAAACATCACACCCCAGCCTGAGCATTTGGTCTTAGTCTGATATCCAGCAGAGAATCAACAGGTTCTGTTTCGGAAGGATTGTGAGGTTAGGGAGAAAGCCAAGCCCAGCCCGTGGAAACAGAAAATGGGTTTATATTTCCCAGTCAGTCAGGCAAGACTGGGAAGTAATTCAACTTAGCAACATTTAAGGACCAGAGCAACTTAACTTTCCAATAATAATAGTCACCTAGCTCTATACCATTTACAAACTGGGTTCCTAAAACATTATCTCAGTCGGTTCTAACAAAACCTGTGAGGTAGGCAAAGCAGTGAGGTAAGCTCTCTCATTCTAGAGAGAGATAGACTGAGGTTTGGTATGGCTTAAGGGATCTTCTCAAATCTTATATCCCTAGTACATGACAGAGCTGGATTTCTAAATCTCATCTAGTGCTCATTCCTCATTCAAGGCATCAAGCATATGTAGAAGAAAGCCTAAAGAAGGAAGTGGAAAGCTGAAAAGTAGAAAATTTAGAAATATCAATATAAATGTGAAGATACAAGTACTAGAGCAAATTCTGAGTCTGTGGGCAAATTTTGTTAAACATTTCTTTATTGCCTCAAAATTCTCTTGGCTAGGTTGGAGATTCACCCCAAACACTCCACAAGGAGTTGGATGTTTATTTTTTATTTTTTGTGCTCTTAGATAATGAAGGCGTGTTAAGATGTGGTCTAGCTCCTTTGCCTAAGTTAACTCGTTAGATTTTAAACATGAGATAAGTGGAAATTCATAAATCTATTTTGTAATTCTTTTTATAGAGATTCAACATGAGCAAACAGTAATTCCATCCCTTCCCAAATGAGGGAACAACAGGGAGGTAAAAGAACCTTTCAGGTGATATAAATGCTGCTCTGAAATAATCTTTTCTTTAAACCATCACAGCATATGAAAATTAAGAAAAAAAAAATCTTTTGTCATTTCAAATTTAACCTACCATACTCACCTCTGCCCAGTGTGTGGGAGGATTACTTAGTTTGGTGGTAAGACCTAGTTTTCTTGTTTGAAAAAGTTATGAGTCAGGATCTCTCCTGAGCAGCTCAGAATCTGATTTTAATTTCTAAAAATACCACATTTTCATATTAATAACGATGTGTATTTAAGACATCTGTTTGAACGTCTGCAAATGTTAATTTACCAAGGGGGTGGGGACATAATCCAATAAAAAGCTGCTACATTCTTTTATGAATTAACATTATGGCTGTTTAATAGGTCCTTTACCAGAGTTCAAATTAAAATGAGGTCTTTTATCTTTATAGTGCCTGCATAGGCACAGCTGCTCACAGTTAATATCACAGATGAACTATGCCTAATTGAAAATAAAAATGCAAATAAAAGACCCTGTAGTACATCTGTACAGGCTGTGGGTACCCCAAAGAGCTCATGACAAGAGGGACCTTGAGGTGCCCACCAAGAATGGACACATTAATACATATGACCCACTGTCACGGGGCAATTTAGTTGTGGGTGAAAGAGACTGTATGATATGCGAATTTAGTCTACAGCAAGTCCATAGAGCGAGGCTTTAATTTGCAGCCTGTCCATAAGCTCTCCTGGTGTAGTGGCTAGTTTTAAGCCACTGCTGAGTGCTGTCCAATAGATCTTTCTGCAATGACGAAAATGTTCTACACTGCACTATCCCGTACTGTTGCCACTAGCCGTATGTGGCCACTGAGACGTCATGTGTGACTGAGAATGTGAATTTTAAATTAAACTAAATTTAAATTAAATAGTAACCTGTGGATAATGTCCAATGATGCATACTGGACGATGCAGAGAGACAATCAAAAGCAATTCTTACTCTGTTCTCTCCCTTGAGAGGTAGTAGAGCGGGCATGTTGAAAGTCTGGCTCTGGACCCAGACTGCCTGTTTCAAATCCCCAATCTGCCACTTATTAGCTGTGTAACCTTGGGAAAGTTACTTAACTTCTTTGCGCTTAGCCCCTCATCTATAAAATGGGAATGGTGATGATAGCAAAGGAACCCAGCATAAATTAAAATGCCTGGCATGTAATATGCAGTCAATAAACATTAGTGGTTTTCTTCAATATTTAGATGAAACCACAAATGCTATAAGCATTCTGCCTTTAGTGAGCATTTCATTGGTGACATGTGTACTGTGGCTTCACCAAGATGTCATGTGGGTGTTTATTCTGACAGACTTAGTTTAGATATATGACAAGGTTCAGCTACTTCTATCTATCATGACTCCATGAAGAATGCTGAGAAGGGAAGCAAAAATTCCTTCAACAAAAATTTGCTGAAGACTATTATGTGAGAGACCTTGCTATAACACTCTTGATAAAAGATACATAAACGTGGATCCAACTCTCAAGAAACTTGCAGTGCAGTGAAACACAAGGATTAGAGATTCAAATGAAGAAGGTTTGCAAAAAAGAAACGTCAGCATCAGTAAGCTCCTGAGTTGGAAGAGTCCAAAGGATTCCAAGTCATAACCCTTGGATTATGGGTTCATAATCCTTGGCTTTATTCTAAAAGCCCATAAAAAAGGGAAGAAGAGGGATATGAAAGAACATAACACTCTTGATGAGCCACTGGGGGGTCCTTATTCTGTACTACATACAGACATTCATACATGCAGTACTGTCCGCTAACAGCACCACCCAAGGTCTGAAACCAGACTGCTTGGGTTCAAATCTTGGTTCTGCCACTTACTACCTTTCTGTGCCTCAGCATCCTCATCTGTCAAACAGGAATAAGAAAAACAACAACCTCATAGGGTTGTGGTAAGGATTAAATGAATACAAGCAAAGTATTTAGGATGGTGCCTGTCATTCAAAGACGGTAGCTTTTATTGCTATTTCTCAGAAGTAAGGTGAGGTGGGGGAGATGGTGCTGGGTGAATAGCATCCTCCTGTAGCCTGGAAGGTTACTTTGGCTTTCTTAGCATTACTGAAATCCCAGGTTACAGAATCATAGATTAGTGCTGGAAATGATCTTAGAAATATGTAGCCTCAACCCTTCTTTTTTTGGCAGGTGAAGAAAGTAAATTCTGAGATTAAATGCTCTACTTTGGGTCATAATCTGTGGGAGAGTCAGTCCTTCAGGACTATTGTGAATTACATAAAACCTTTTCATCTGGTAAGCATCTGTTAAGTTTAATAGCAAATGATGCATCAACGATGCACTCAATCTACTTTCTCCTCTTCTTAACACAGTCCCCGAAGATTTAGAACTTTAAGTTCTAGGCCAATCTTTCTGTGAGTGGAAAGAAAAATAAAGCATAAATCTCATTTCCCCAAGAATAGCTGGGAACTTGGTTCTCAGGAATACTACCTGAACCATTCCTTAATTGTCCTTATTCTCATGATTTCTCTGGACCACTTTTGTGATCCCGGTGTTTAACTGCATCTCTTTGAGGGACTTACAAGGTGTCCTATGCCATTGTGGTGCTGGTTTTGGGTGCCTGTGATGTAACAGCTACATACCCTGATTAATCATACTAAGGGTAAGGTGACAAGCAATGTTCTTTAATTGAGTAACGTTTTTAGTATGAAAACGCCTATATATCTCCGTATAACCCATGAGTCAGAGGGATGTCATGAAGTACTTTGGCTCATACCAGCTTCACATCTGGCTCCGGTTCTTCCAGGTGGGCAGAGGCATTTTCCAGTTACTGCGTGGCGGAAGCTTTCTCTTTCACAGTCACAAGGTTGACGGCAATTGTCTCCAAACATTCCAGGTGGACACTCTACCAAGGAAAGAGAAATGCTAAAAAATTAACCCATTGAGCTTTCACTAATGTACCTAAATTGAGATTAAATATACAATTTCCTTAAGATTGAGCCCAAGTAGCAAAATGAGATTCTTTGGTCAGAAGAAGAGAGGCAAGTTTTGGAATTCTCAGAAAGAAGTTTTATTTTAAACATGATTACACTTGCAGGTCTTAAAATTGATTTACTTTGACACTTGTTTGTGCCTGTTGGAATGTATGTAAGCTTTTTGAAGATAGGAACTTAAGGAAGGAGACTGAGTCTACTAGCCAAGTGTATTACTTTTAATATTTTTCCTCAAAATATTATTTATTTATTTACTGTCTATTTTTCAAGAAGACTGTAAGCTCCACTTATATTCCCAGAACTCAACCCTAAATAATAAGTGAATAAGTGAATAAAGGATGGACGAGAGATACTATATGTAAAGCTCTAGTGACATATGAGGATATGGTATGGGACTAATGTATAGATCCTTTTTAAAGGCAATAACTTTGATTCACATAAAGTCAAATTACCACTATCATTATATTATCATTAGTATGGTTGTTGTAACCATATGCACAAGAATGTACATAATCTAGGCTAAAATGGGACTTCGAGTTGTTTACTGAGCACTATATAGATTGGCATTGTTTGGAATGGGCCTGATCAGAGTCTTTTAGGGCTTTATAATTTTTTATTTCAAACTGAGTAGCCCAAATTCTCACCTCTATATCTTCATACACACTCATGGCTGTCATAACTTTCTAGTGATAAATGCCTAATTCACATCTCTAATTCTTTTTCATAAAGTCCTTGTATCTATTTCAATGCCATTGAACCCAATATATGTCATTCTTTTGAAAGCATTTAATAAAATATTTACTCTCATTCAGAGGTAGAATATTTGTCCATTGAAGACTAACAGCGTTAGTGGTGTTTTGAGATATTAAACAATTTCATTTAGGGGACAATAAAATTTGGGGCCAATTAGCAACAAAATCAGAAGGACCCATTATTATATTGGCTATAGAGTGAATTCCTGTCACTTTAACATCCAAGTGGGAAGATTAGGTGATTATTCCAAGTTTTCAATTTGGGCTTACATGTTTGCCCTCAGATGGAAAAATCTCCCAGTCACATAGAATTCCTACATTCACATGCTTTAAAAAGCTCTGGCCTTACCTTTTCCACACTGGCTGCCATGGAAACCTGCTGGACAAATGCACTGTCCACTTGCTGCATCACAACTGGCTCCATTTTTGCAGTCACAGATGTGAGCACAATTCAAACCATAAAATCCAGGAAGGCATGCTAGAAAATGGAAATGTCAAAACGCTATTTTGGTACTTTAAGAATAAATAAAGGGAAAATGAAAGGATATGCTCTAGGTCATTTGTTTTTCAGGACCAAAGGAGATGAGAGCAGAGAATAGGAAAGCAAGAAAAAGTTATATGGAGAAGCATATTGACAATAGTTTAGTCATACAGATAAGTGAATATGCAAGTGCCATTCTCTACAACTAGTCTAGAAAAATTCATAATAAAATTTAAAATAGTTTCAAGTAGATGAAGTTTATTTGCCATGCTATGCTATAGTCAGCCAAAGACTTCAACAAAATCTTCCAATAATCCAAATTCCTTAAAAAGCAATGTCTTTAAACTTCAGATCCAGGCTAAATTTAGTGAGAATGGTTTGGTATTAAATTCTTTAAATAAATAAGAGAGTATCTGTGGAAGGTGAGTCATATAGCTCTTGATATCTGAAGGCCTGGGAACGGATGACAGAGGTGGGTATGAGGGAAAGTGGGGAGAAAGAGAAGGAAGGAGGAAGGGAATAAAAACCAGAGAATATGATGTATATACAGTAGGTTAACAACTTACGAGGAAGTTAGGTTTCAAAGTCAGTGAAATTTAATCTTTGACAAATTTCCTTAGATGGCTCGTAAAGTACAATGTAGAACTGTCTCTTAGCAAGTCCAGAATAACCTGTTTTTCCTCTATGGTTGGAGAAGATCAATATTTTTGTGGCTGAATATCAGAAGAAGTAATTGGTTTGCATTTAGAGACCATGTAGTTCTTTAAATGCTAAAATTGTCCCCTGTCCTGGGAGATGCTCACCCTGAGAGAGGTGTGTGAGAGCGAAGCTTGACTGCAGACAAAAGATTCCCGTTTCCTATCTTGAGTTTTCTCCAGGGCTGTGCTCACCACTCACCAATGGGAATGGCAGGGGGATGACACTTCCTTGCCCTTCAGTTATCGTCTCCTCTCTCTCTCTATCCATCTCTGTCTCTCTCTGTCTCTTTGTTTCCCTCCACCCCCTGCCCAGGCGCCTAGAGTTGGATTTGCCTAGGCTTTACGTGTATGACACTTCTGTAGCATGGAGTTCCTCAGGACAGATTCAACATTCGGAAAAATTTACATTCAGGGAGCAGAAAAAGGAAGCAAAACCAAAAGCAGATAAGGAATAAGTTATTTTATACAATATACACTCCATATATTAATATATTAATATATACTCCATTTTCTGATCTCATTATAATGTTAAAAAATGAATAATAAAAGAAGATCCAGTGCAGGGTTTCTTATGTTAGTTCTTGTATAATCATTACTGTGAATACATAGAAAAATCAAATTTCCTTTCTCTCTCTTGTTTTAATTATATATAAAACTGAACTCATCAAGGTTGCTTGCTTGACTTTTCCATTTCTCTAAATAATGCTATCATTCTTCTAGGTTCCCTGGCTTGGAACTTTAGAGCCATCTTTTATTCCTCCACCTTCTTCAACTCTATCTCCATGTCTCCACGTCAATCACAAAAGACAGTTAATTGTTCTTCCAAAATATTCTTCTGTTCATTCATTTCCATTTTTATCTCAGTCCAGATTTTTAAAATCCCAGACTGTCACTATAGCTTTCTACATGGACATTACTGATGGCTCCTTTTCCTAATCAGCAATAATATACCTAGTTTACAGATTTATTTCACCAGAGTGATGTGTCTTGTCTACTCGGAATCTTCCGTGATACTCCAGTGTATGTAGAATGAGATTTATGGGTGTTGAACGGAATTTTTTTTCCTCTCTTGTGCTTATTATTATTCCAACTTTGAAAACATAAAAGCAAACAAAAACCACAAGATATTTGGTTCCACATACCCTGACCCAAGAAACCTTAGAGTGGTTGGCAAGAGTTCTAAATCTTGAAAGGCTTAATAGGATTTGTTACTGTGAAATATGTTTGCCAGAGCCTAAAAACAGGTCGAAACAAATGTCAACAATTTTAAATCTTGTTAGTATCACTTCAGAGGCTTTAAAAAATTCTTTACTTCTAAATAATTAATATTCATCTATCTTTTGCCACATGCCTCAGTGCTAAATGTTTACATGTATCTTCTTATATAATCCTAGTGATAATCTTTTAAGGTAGGTGGTATTATTATTCCTTTTCTGTAGATGATGAAACAGAAACTTATGGAAGTTAATAGTTTATACTGCACTAGGCCATATATGACTAATTCTAGAGTTTAAGCTCTCACATCTTAATCTCTTAACTGTGTGGTCCATCAGGGCTCTCTGATATCAAAGACAAATTATTGTATAATTCTCCCTTTTCCTAATTTTAGCTGAAAATATTGAGTCCAAATGAAGAAATGATATAAATAAATATGTTCAAAGAGAACTTGAAGGCAGATCTTTCAGAGTCAAGCCTAGATTAACATGAGACAAATAAACAGCTTCCTTGTCTATGTTTTGCCTAAAGGCAGCCAGTGGAAGGAGAATTATTTTGTTCAAAAAGACTGGCAGCTAACTCCTCTGGGTGTCTCTACTCCAGATGATCACAGAACCATAGAATTGTTTCTTGGACAGCAGTACCAAAAAGAATAAACAACCGCAATTACTTCATCAGGGCAGTTGTCAAAATCTAGAACTTAAATTAGAGCTATGAAATAGATTGCAAGAATATACACTAAAATATTAACTGTTGTTCTAATCTTATGTAATGTGAACGCATTATTATGACTTTAAAAATAGTTTTTAAAGTTTAAGAGTTATCAATACCATAATATGCCCACTCATTTTCTCTGTTTACTATGTTCACAGCCTCTTCCGTAGTAATCTTGGAGGCACTCACAGCTTCCAGAAAACATGTTGCAAACTCTATTGTTCTGACAGGAGCAGTTAAAATGGCAGCCTGGGCCATAATAACCAGGAGAACATTCTGGAAAAGAAACCACTGGAGTATTAGTTCTAGTTAAGACAATGGAATTTGTAATGAATTCAAAGACAGAAAAAAACAGTAGAATTAATAAAAAAATAAAAGCAGACAAATCATTAGCTAACCTAATCAAGATGAAAGAGAGAAAGCACAAATACACACAGTTTAAAAAAAACGTGGAATGACCATTAAAAGGAATAAATATAAAAAGTATAACACAATAAATATAAAAACCTAAATGAAATGGAAAAGTTATAGAGGACAGCTTATCAAAATTGTCCTAGTTTGAGGCAGAAAACCTAGATAGGTTAATTATAATAGAAAAGCAATAGAGAAAATAGTAAAATAGCTCCTGCATTAAAAACAAAAAACCCCACCAGTCCTAGGTTTCACAGGGAAATTCTATAAACCTTTATAGATCAGATTGAAAAAAGAGGAAAATTTCAAATACATTTTATTAAGCGAGTAAAACATCAATTCCAAAACCTGACAAAAGTGCGTAAAAAACTACAATTCAATTTCACTTATGAATATTGATGCCAAATTCTTAAAAAATATATGTACACAGAAACCAACAACATATTATAAAGTAATATATCATGACCAAGTAATATTTATTCCAAGAATGTAAGGTCATTCAATATTAGAAAATTCATTAATAAATCATATTTATAAGCCTAACAAGAAAAATCATATTATTAATTCCATAGATGCAGAAAAGACACTTAAAAAATAAATTCACCAAAAATTCAGTTAAAACATTGAATAAATTAGAAAATTAATAGCTATCTCTTAATATGAATATTAAAAGCCAACATTTTCCCTAATGAGGAACAAAAAGCTTGAACAAATGGAAAGGTATGCCGTGTCTGTTCTTGGATAGGATGAGTTAATATCATAAATATGTTAATTCTCCCTAAGAGAGAGTAAACACAGAGGACTACAAAACAGTAAAAAATAGTTGATTTTTTTTTTTTGCATCTAGACAATTTGATTATAAAGTTCATTTAGAAGGACAAAGAAGCAAGAATAGCCAGGAAATCCCTAAAAAAAGAAGAGCAATGGAGGGTGGCTAGCCCTGTCAGTATCAAATACACATAATAAAGATTGTATAATAAAAATCATATTGTATTTGCACATAAATAGACAAACCAGTAGAACAGAGCATCTAGAACTGTACCTAACTGCATATGAATGATTAGTATTTGATGAAGGCTGCATCTCAAATCAGTGGGGAAGACAGACTTGTAAAAGCTGCATTATGATAACTGAAAAACCATATAAGGGGAAAATGGATCTATTCTTCACACAGTACATCAGGAAATAACTTTAAAAATGATCAGAGACTTAAATGTCAAAAATGACATCATGCAAGTATTGAAAGAAAAGATGGGGAAACCTGAGAATGGCAAATACATTCCTAATTATGACTCAAAATTAAAAAAAATAGAGGGATGAATGACATATTTTATTACCAAGTAAAACAAAACAATTTTGAATCGTGCAGAATGTATAATCCAAAGATGATCCTAATGAAGTACGTCTCCTGGGATTCACATCCTTGTGTTGTCCCTCCCACATGGAACCTGGGCTGATCCCATGACTTGCTTTATTCAACAGGATATGGTGGAAGTGACGTTACATCATTTCCAAGCCTTAGGAAGACCTGGAAACTTCTGCTTTGAGAAGTCAGCTGTCACGTAAGAAACCCAATTATCCTGTTAGAGAAAAAGGCCATGCAGAAGTCTTAGATGCCACAAGGAGTGTTATGGACCACATGTTTGTGTCCCCCCAAAGTTCATATGTTGAAACACTACCCCCCAATGTGATGGTATTTGGAGATGAAGCCTTTGGGAATTAATTAGGTCACAAGGGCAGAACCCTCATGATGGGATTAGTGCCCTTGTAAGAAGAGACAAGAGAGCTTGTGTGCTCTCTCTTTCTTTCTCTCTCTCTCTCTCTCTCTCTCTCTCTGCCATGTGAGGATAAAATGAGAAGGCAGCCATCTGCAAAACAGAAAGATGGCCTCCATCAAGAACCAAACTGGCAGTACCTTAATCTTGAATTTCCCAGACTCCAGAACTGTGAAAATAAATTTCTGTTTTTGTCTCCTAGTTTATGATATTTTGTTATAGCAGCTTGAGCTCAGACAAGGAGAAAGAAGCCATATGGAGGAACACCAAGGTGGCAGTTGTGTGAAAGAAGAGGTTATTGTCTATATTCCAGCCCAGCTGAGTCTCCAGATGCCTCCAGCTTCAGCTGCCATCTGAGAGAAGAACCCAGTTAACCCTCAGAATCATGGGAGAGAATAATAAATTGTTGTTTTAAGTCTCTAAGTTTTAGGGTGGTTTGTTATACATCAATAGATAACCAATCAGGTGTCACACATACTGTAGGCAAAGTAAAAAGACAAAAGAAAACTTTC